GCTGTTTCACTAACCTCATTAGCACTGCCAGGCCCAGGTACGGTCAATCGTGCGTGATTAAAGACCAAGTGATTGCTTACTCCCATCGCATAATGTTGCAATAGGATTCAACAGCTACAACAACAGCGGCTGCAATCAATCAATCGATCATGCTCGATCGATATACGCATCAGTGTCCGCTAGATTTACACCCATTTTTCACAGCGCTTGCCGATTATGTTTTAACGCCTTGGTCCCAGCACAGAGGCACCAACAAAATTTCTACCCTTCTAAACAATCAAAATGACCGTTTTGATCATATCTCTGGAAAACGGTTAGATATCCGCCAGTGAAATGGCGTCATAAGAACTACCGAAATATATAATGAACTGTACGATAGTTACGAGATTTCATAAAAATAGTTCTACATTGAAAAATTGGAACGTTTTTCATAAGTGTACTTTCCAAGTATGGACGCTGAGTTTGACAATCTTTTCCAGTAAAATCATATATTCCTTTTAAAACACTCTTCTGCTGCACAATTTAGGCCGGGCAGAAGAAGGATAATAAAGTATGACATTCCAAATGGGCTATTGCGAGCTGATATCGAACAATCTTATTGTCAAGTAATACTAACGGATTGCCGGAAGAAGCGCTAAACAGCAATGGGGACAATCCGATTTCTCCATTCACTTTCACGATGGAGACCACCATATTCATTCTGAATGGGATGATTGCCAAAGCCTTCGTCAATCAGAAAAGAGGAACATGTTCAATAACTGTCGCATCCCTCTACTTCGTGGTCTCTGGGACTGGGGCTGACCTATGGACGACTCACTGACAGGCAGTTGGTTTGAAACTCATTTCTTGGATGTTATTCGCAACACATGGAAACTTCATTCTTTTCAGTGCTCGCTCGGTGTTGTTTGCGCAGCTTTATTTCTGTAAATCACACAAACCATTCAATTCCTGTGATTTAAAATTAGGTTTAATTTTTACATGTCCGAAGTATTCATTTCTGGTGGACTATCGGGTACAACAGGAAAACCTATATTGATGGAAAAAGTCGTTTGTCCGCGTTTAAAAAAGCAAGATGATGGTTTGTGTCTGCGCGTGTTGGATTTTTTCTGGCAATTTCCTCATCGTTTTGCATTCTTGAACGCCACTGGGATGGCACTTTCGTATCAAAATCAAAGACTAATTTACTATGACAGACCGCGGAGGAGTTTCCTAATTCATAAGCCAGACAGTCGACGTTGACGACAAAGATTCCGCGCTGTCCATGAGGCCATCAAACTACCACGCTGTCTAGGAGACGGTGGAGGTCGGAATGGATGTCTTTCGATTCGCTTTGTTCAAAAAGCTGGTTAGAAACCGATAGATTGTCCTGACATCAATCGGTTTGGAGCACCCAGAATAGACTGAATGCAAAAAGAACGTTGTAAAACTGAACCATGTATGGATAATATTTGCTGATGATGAAAAGTTCGTCTTAAACAGAGTGGTCTGCCATGCCCTTTTCTCAAACATTTCTCATCTGAGTTCCCGTTAGGTCTGGTTGTGCCCCCACTTGAATTTACCATATCCTCAGTATCCGTGGTTGGGCAACAGGCGCCTTGTTGAATCCCCTACCTATACTATATCATTGCTATTGTTATGATTACTATTTTAATCAGAAAGGACTGAATAATTACTATTTTAATTGGAATATTATGCTTAATGCACTTTCATTGTGTCACACAATGCGTTTTGAGCTCTTAAGAGCAAGAATGTGAGTGTTCTGCATTATTATTCTGGGGCCCGACCTGCTTCCTGCACTCATCCGTCAATCATAGTGGACGTTCACCACCAGCAAATAACTGTTATAGTAAAGCCATAGCCGTGTGTGACAATATCTTCATTGACATTTTAGAGAGTTATTTTGACACTGTTAACCTCGAATGATCAATATGGTAGCTCTGTGGCTCGTCAGAGAAGTATCGGATATACTTGTTTGCAGAGTTACAAGAATTTACAAACCCGATTGTATGCTTCTGGAAAATTTCGTCGGATCATTCCTATACTAGTTAATGTGAAAATTCATAATAGCGGATTAACGCATTCAGTTACATAATTTGAAAATTTCGTTCGCATTGATCCCAGTATGGGTCCCTGAAACAGTGTGCATAACAAAATGGTTCGATCTCCCTGCTCCATTTGGGGATGTTGCCCCAACGGTCAATCTGGCCGATTTTCATCGGTCTTTACACAGAGAGAATTGGGAGTGATTTATGCTCGATGCCTTGTCTTTGTGGCCGGATAATTTTTTAAATGATCCACACAATGGAATACACCCATACAGAGTGATCAATTGTCTTGTTTGCATTTGTGACTGGACCACTAAGCTGTCTGTAGCACAGGTGTTGCCGTAGCGGGCCACCTCAGTAAGTTCTATCCCCATGTAACCATAAGGTTACTATAAGGTAACTATAAAGTTGTAACTGTGAGCCTCCACAGGGAGCCTATAATGTTCTTTATGGATTTCTGGATTTCCTTCCACCATGAAAATCTTTAAGGACAAGGATTTGGAAGTTCATAATGGTTCTCAACACTCCCCTCGACAACATTTTGGAGTGTCTTTTGCAACAGATGTGCACAAAGCAAAATCACATGACCAACGAGGCTAATAAATTCGTCTACAATCGGTTATAGCAAAGGGTGCTTTATCTGTTCGATTCAGCCTAAGATCATCTGTGACCAATTGAAACTGCGTTATTTAGTAAACGAAGGATTCTCGTGTCCAATGAACCACTGCTGCTCATTTATGAACATGTTTTCAACATAACCAAATTATTTGAGTCGTCAGAATGTGATCGAAGCCGTTACTCGAAACGTATCAATGAGTGTAATTTACCGTGCTACGGCAAAGTAGTGGAGAGCAGTAGTACTTCTTCCCCCGCCCTGTCTCTAACACATTTTACCTACGACAAAATTGGTGTCATAAAGCGATAATTTAGTTGAAAAGCGAATAGGGAGGAGAAAATGGTGAGCATATTTGAACCACTGCATCTATCACCTTCACGACTCGACAAGCATCCACAATAAAGCCATCCCCAAATTCACATTTTCAGAAAAGAGAGCCCTATCGTGAAATCATAACACTCACTTCGAACTGTCGTGTTTGTCCGGTTGGATATTATTCAAACGCTCGTCCGACTTATTGACAAAGAGTTGTGAATTGTTCTTCAACTGACTACCGGGGTCCACGTTACCAAAATCTCTTAGTGATCGTGGGAATACGTCATCATTTGGGATGTTGTTTGTTGATCCATTGATTCGTGTGGTGAGATTAATCTCCGAGTCTTGATTACTATCGGGCAGTCGATTCGATTTGGATGGAGATCCGTGAGGATTGGTCGGTGTGCTTGACACGCGTGCGAGCAGCCCGTTTCCTATCCCAGGGCTGAATTTTCCATTCGTTGAAATGGGAATAGCGGAGCGGAGGTGCTCATCCAAGGAGCGATTAGTCAGACCATTGGTTGGTGCTCTTTGACTAGCCGATCCCAAGCTAAACTTGTCCGGGAATGATAAGGGAATCTGATCGTTCGATATAGGGGTGGATCCGAGCCATGGCCGAGAAAACGGTGCTGTTGATCGCGGTTGGTCCCGGATAGCACTGGGTGGAGTCGGATGTTGACGAAAGGGCAACTTCTCCAGACTGGAGGGGGAGTTTTTAGACCACAGTTCACTTTCTGAACTTTCGTAAATCTAAATGAAAATGGATATAGCACGCAATTACGGATGTCACAGTAGACATGAATATCAATCAGTGAGCATAGGGTGATCGTCGAGGTCCACGGGGACCACTGATGAAACCCTTTATTTACATTAATAGCAGGCATTCAAATTCTTCGTCACTAGCCATGAATAAGAGGAAAATTTTATAACCGGCGCCGAATGCTGATTGTCGTCTGATACCATTAATGGACCTTGGTGGCATTACAATGATGAATAAACAGGACAACCACTAGGCCTAATCGTTTTTTTCGTGCCAACCTTTTTCACCGCTTAGTTTTGTAAAAAAGGACCTGAATGGTGAATTGTGCCCACCATCCCAGTTATGTTCTACTTCGGTGTGAGCAAAACCGAGCTAACTTTCTAACCGAAAGGACGAAAATGGACCAAATTCCAGAATCAACGAGTTCTGAATTGACACGTTTAGACTAGGTACAAAGGGAAGTCTAGAACCTAGAGTCCAGGGATGACTGAGACGGTGAAAATTGTAATTATGATCTCTTGAACTAGAGAAAAAAATTGATATCGTGTTCTACTAAGCAAAGATCAACAATATCCCGCGGGAAAACCGTTTTCGGTTCACGTGTATGAATCTAACCAGCTCGACAGACAATACACAGACTACCTCTTCAGTTTCAGTGATTTGTATTCGGTCAGCTTACACATAAACTTGAATCACTTAACATTTCTAAAAGTTTATTACCACAACTGATGCGGTTACAATAAACATGTTAACGGAGTGACTTTACTGCGAAGATCTTTGTATCACAACTCCAGAAAATCTTGAGCGACTTTTGGTCGACCTCCTTCTCGTTCTAATATCCTTACGCATAACACCTTCAACATAATTTTAATCCACGCATCAAGCAATCCCATTTGCAATTGTGAATGTATAACGACACAGCTATCGTATAAATCCATTCTTTATTGCCCATTACCAATAATAATCCCATCAACTCAACGTAAACTAAATATTCATTTTCCTGTTTACCAATTCATAGAAATATTTATGTGACGCAAACTAATTGCAAACAGATCTATTTGCAACACAGAAAATTTTCACTGTAACAACGGAGATGCAAACTGACCTGACAAATTCCTATTTCGTGTTCCGAAAGACATTGACAGCTATATCATAGCTACCAGTTGACATGAAGTGACATTGGCAGGACCGGACCGCAGGGTCTACAGATCATACCTGCTGAAACCAGGTTTTACAGTCAATTCACAAAAGTGCCTAGCGCTTTTTTCAATCTTTCATGCTACCATGTGACGATCGTCGGGTTGTCGTACCAATTCTCCACAAAACACACCGGACCATCTGCGGATAATTTGTTTACATTCTGACACTAGGTTAAAACCATTTTCAAACACGGATACTACTTCACATCCACATTCTCGCACTCATAAAAAATTCACCCGGTCACGTGATTTCCTATTCAACTGCGTGGTCCAATTGATCGAGTTCCTTTCAACGAAACAGTTTCTTGCTTCAATCGTTGCACGAATCTTGTGGTGAAAAACGTATCGATCCGTGAGTGACCATCTTCAACATGACTTGAAGAACAATGATAAATTTGTGTCCTCTAAACAACCTGCACACTGCACAATCACCTGTGAGGCATAGCAACCGTTGTCCATGAGGCGGAATAAATATGTTTCCCGTTATTCCCGTTTTCAAAGACACTCCATGATTCACCCCTCCGGGAGTAGGGGAGGGGGCTTCTGTCTGGGGCCGAGAAGCCAGAGGGAACATATACAGAGCGGAAATGAGAGACTGTTTGCAGGCAGATTTGAGCCTAATGCAGAATTGAGACAACGAGACAACAAAAACAATAGACGTGCACATAAACACCCCAAAAATTGTCACATTTGGTAGAGGCAGTTGAACAGTTTCCTGGATTATTTGCGGTCGCATTCCAGATTTTGACCTGGATGTTCTTTAGGAGTAAATAGGATGTTTTTTATTAATTGTTTCTAGGCGATCTCTCACTTCAAATGAAAGCTTGTTTTTCTTGTTTGCAACAATCCTATTCCTGACTAAATGAGTGGCAACTGTTTTTATTGCATTGAATGACAAAAATTAATTGGCAATAAATATTCAGTCATTTTTCCTACTAATAGGGACAACGTCCCGGCTGATCATCGTTGAGCGTGGATAAGTTCAGTACCACTGTATCTCACAGAAAGTGACTGGCGTCGAGACCACTTTGGTTATCCGAATTCAAAAGTGAACTGTGACTATTCGGGAGCCAAGGGCAGGAAGGAAATGTAGTCCACTGAGAGGAACCGTGTAAATAATAAGAACCTAGTCGGTACCCCACAGCGATCATTTTGTTTATCTTATCAGTCAAACGCGACTACCTGCTGAGCTGGTTACGTTTTCGAAGTTTGATCGTACTGAAGTTAGTTATTATCTTATGGGTGGATTGGGCTTGCGCACATGTTCACCCACACAGACACACATTCCCACACAAACACGAGCCTAGCATGCTGTCACCACCCAGTGGGTGGTTAGATGACTGGATTGGTTATAGACCTGATCGAGGTTGCATCGACCATCTATTCATCGCTCGCCCGGTCTTGAAACACCGTGCTTTCGTCCTCACACCACCGTTTTTTTTCGTTGATAAAACGAAATTACTTGACTTAGGTGTAGTCTATCCCCAAAGAAGTTTCGTGGCTGAAAAATTTCTTAGCATACGAATATCCGAAGCCGGAATCATGTTTGAGCCTGATTTCATCACAAAAAGAGAAGCTTGTCAGGGTTGCTTGCTCTCCGTTTCATTTTGGGGTTTTTAATGGAAATAACTCTTTAATCGGGCCAAGAGGGCAACGTTAAGAGGCGACCAAGTGACAATATTTCATGTAAGGGACGATGATGATAAAGAAGATGACTGGAGAAAGTAAACATCTGGGGCAAGGTATCCGACTTCTCTGCGGACTGAAGACAGTACAGTCGAAGCCGGATGTGGATGTTGATGATCTCAATACCCCATTCTTGTGCCAGTCGTCGGAGGTTCCTCCTGCCTACTCGTCACACAATGCCTGTAATGTGGAACCATTCTCAAATTGTGATGTTAAAATGTTCAAATAGTTTTAATTCGTATTCTGCTGCTATACCTCAAACACTTTAAATTTGGCACTACTCCCTAGCTGAGGCAATAACCTCGAGTGTAAATTAATCTCTTTACAATTCTACTATCCCGAGTGTTGGAGGCCGGTCACAATTATATCAATCCAAAAGCATCCAAACCTTATATCCTCTCTACACTTTTTCGTCCCATAGCCCTAATATCTTCAGCTCTTAATTTGTTTGGGAAGGCTATCATCAAAAGCCTTCAGTAGTCTATAAACATTCCCAATGATCCTTTACAGTTTACTTGCAAGGCTAATAGATTCACCTTAGACGTAGTCTCCACCCTTATTCATGTTATCACTAAGTCTTTGAACACCTCTGTGAAGTCTGTCCTTTGCGTTTCCTTGATTACTCTTCATCAACCATAGATTCCATTCCTCAATCAAAGTTAAAAAAAAACTGGAATCGTTTGAATGCCCCAGGTAATTGTGAGCTTGGCTATCCAACAGATTTACTGATAGAGAACAAACCATTTGACTTGGGAAAGCTTCATTTTAACACAGTCAACAACGCTGGAGTTCTTCAAGGAGCTGTGCTGCCTCCATACTTATTTTCCCCCCACATTTGTGATATTCCTTGTGTTTCTCCTGGACGTGTTTTGAACTATGCAGATAATGTTGTGCTGCATCAACCCATTTCTTCTTCCTCTTTCATCAACAATCTAGGTCAAATTCAGTCATTCTCCTTCTAATCAAAGCCAAGCTTAACCCCCCAGTAAATGTGTTGAAAACTTATATAGTTTTGCACGCTCTCCACATCCGACAGACCCTACAGTCATTAATAACAATCCTCTATCTAGGGTGAACTCTGTCAAATATCTTGGTGTAAGGATAAATAGCAACCTGTCTCCGTCAACCCACATCCAAAACTACATTGTGAACTACGTGGCTCCTCTTATTTCAAATTCAAAAGCTCCGGCAGTTGCACGTAATTTAGCCAGATATTTATACTGTTGTGTATCAGTGTGTTTTCCCCATCTAACTACTGAAACAGTATTTTAAAGTCATACGCCGCGGTCTAACTATTATTAGGCGTGTTTCTTCTATTCCTGCAAATGGGTTAGCTGTGAATCTTTCAGAGTATCATATAACTTCCTGTGTTAAATTTG